GATCTGTGCTGTGCCTTCCTGCTCAGTCCGTAGGCTTGTAGGAGATCTAATAAAATGAAGTTGTACCCTGGCACTATGAAAGAAACAGAAAGCCTCCCACCCTTACCCTGCGTGGGTCACACACCCACCCTGGAGCAGGAAGGAAAAACCATGGCATGTACTCACTTGTCCAATCTTCTTCAAAGCAATGCAGGAAGTGGAATCCCACCATGATGAGGGCGTGCAAGGAAATGAGGGCTATGTACATCTGAAACAGGAAAGTAGTGCAGATGCCATTGTTGTAAGAACCTGTTGACAGTGCAGGTCCTGGAACAGGGTGCTCAGAACATGCCCCTCGGGAACACTTTGCTAGCTGAGGCCTGACCAGGAAGGAGGCAGTGGCATGTGTGATTGGCCTGCAGGTCCCCCCAGTGCACCCTGAGTGTGAGGTGAGCAGCCATTCCCCAGCAAAGTGTGGAAACAGAACAGAAACAAAGCCCACACACCAGGTATGACCTGGGCTGCCTGGGGTATGTGAGGCCTGCTGCTTCTCCTCACTTGGAAAGTCCTTCCAGTCCTCATGCTAATTCTCCACCTACCTGCAGTGCAGGATTTGAGGTCATCACCAGCACTGCCTTCTTTGGCTATGAAGGCCCAACACTCAGGGTGGGGCCCAAAACACAGCCCTTGCTTCCAGCTAGTCAACCCAAGTCAGTTCTCTACAAGTTCAAGTGAAGGGTATTTGCTGAGCCAGAGATGTTGGGTAGGAAGGTGGAAAGCTACATGGGCAGGCAGTGTTCTGCACAGCTGCAAAGACCACCACAAATGCTGAGAATTTCCAAAGGAACAAAGAACTCCATTGCTGCACAGAGGTCAGGGTGGAATGCAGAGCCGACTTACTGTAAACAGGACGAAGTACTTCTGGTTGTTCTCGCCGACACAGTTATTGACCCAGGGACAATGGTGGTCCATCTTGCGAATGCACCGCTTACAAACACTGCAAGAGCCCACAAGTCAGACCTTTAGGGGTGTTCTCACGGTGTGGGGGTGGCCCTGAGGGGAACACAGGACCTAGGACTCCAGTTCCACTCTTCTAAAATGGGTTCCTCGGACTCTGAGAGAGGCTTTGCTGGGTGTGTGTTGCAAGGGGCTTGGAAGGCAGGGTCAGACCCAGAGCCACAGTCATTTCCAACAGGGGAAACAGGCATTCAGTTCCAAGGCCTCGTCTCTGTTGGTTAACACATAAACAGGCCAGAACTGACCTAGCTGAGAAAGAGGCTTTTCTGAGGCAACATGGGTTGAAATAATTTGCAAAACTTGACACAGTGGGATGGGATACAGAAGAGCTGCTCCTCATTTCCCTAAAAGACCAAAAAAACCAAGGGCAAGGCAGAAATTCTGGAGACCTGGGTCAGCTGAGCTACCTTGGTCAAACTGGCTGAACACCAAGCCTCAGGTTCAAATCAACCTGAGAAAAGATATTTGGGGCTGGCTCACACAAGTGGTGGATTCATACTGATCTCTACCCCTGTTCTTCTCCACCACTTTAGAAAGCCTTTCTAATGCAGGCATGCTGCCAACAGGCACATCTCAGAAATGCTGGCCTAGCTCCAGAATCTCCCTGGAGACCAGGAAGGCAAGGTAAGAAAATGAGACCTGGAAGGTCTGCACAGGGAAGCAGACAGCCAAGTACCAGCAACTCCATGGCCCAGTTCTGTTTCTCTCTTTCTGGAGTTTGAACTCAGGGCCTCATGCTTGCTAGGCAGGCGCTCTACCACTTGAGCCATGGCCCCAGCCCTATATTACCACTTTAAAAAAATGCATGATTATATCTATGAATATACATAATATACATTTTAACTGATAACACGTGTTCCCAGTTCACAATTTTAAAAGCACAAACAAGTAGACAGTGAAAAGTGCACTGCTCTCCAGGGAGCCAATGCTGCAGCCCATTTCTACATGCTCTTCCAGATAGTCAGCTCTTAATTCCCTTCTCAACTGAGGAACAAACTCCTGAGAGTAACCACTTCCTGCTCCAAGGCGCCTGAGCAGTTCCTCTTCATTATATTTATTTCTATAAGAATTTCAAGTGTTTGCCCTTGAGGCAATGCGAGCTCAGTGGTGAAAGGCACCAAGTGGCCTGCCATCCTCTGAAAGCTGGCCAAGAGTTTAAACAAGCTCTTACAATGGTGCAGACTTTGAGCTCTGAAGAGACCAGGCGTGGCCATTAGGAACCCGGGCTTCACAACAGACTACATCTCGCTTGTCAGCCAAACTGGACAGACAAATATGCTTTAGGGAGCAAGGGAAGTAAGTACTGCCCACTGAGCATTGCAAAAGTGGCCCAAAATGGCAGTCCCTACTTTCTTGTTTTCAAGGATAAGAAATACCACAACCAGTACTTCTATCCCCAGAACAGACCCTGTGCTGTAGGGTGGGCAGAGTAAGGTGTGCTGCTCAGAGGTTGACTTGCTCTCAAAGGGCTCACCTGGATGGCCCTTGGGCTGGGAGCATGCCAAGGGCAAGGCCTGGAGGTAGACCCTGGAGCGGCAGTGAAGGCCACTCTATGCCCTGTCCTGTCTCACCTGAGGCACCATCTCACATGAGGAGGAAAGGATGTGGGCTTCCATTCAGAACTTCTAAGGATCCACAGAGAGTCAACCACCTCAGTCAGTCCTCTTCCCAGACCCCACTGCATGCACAGTGGATGGGCTGGGTGATGTCCCCTCTCCAGGCACAGCAGGGCAGCACAAGCATGGGGACCTAGGATGGCTAGCAGCTGTCCCCAAATGCCTGCGACCACCTTTCCACATGGGTTATGGATGGCTCGAGGCCTTTCTCTCCATATAGCAAAAACCCACCCTAGCCTCTGAGGTTCCTTCCTTGCCTGCTGTTTCCCTTAGGTATTGCTAACCCACTCCTTTCTAGCACTGATTCCAGTGTCTCAGGGACAAGAAGCCAGAGGCTGGGAGCTCCTGAGGCACTATAAGTCATGAAAAGACCAGATGCCTAACATGGAGGTATTTCTGGTGTCTTTGCTTCCAGGTTTCTGTGTTTCAAGACACAGTTGTTTTAGAAGGAGGCAGATGGTTCTCCTCTGTTTCTCCAGGTTCCCTACCACTGTTCAGGACTCAAACCTTGGAAGAACCCAACCAGCTCAATGGCTCATCTGCATTTATACATTTACTCTTGAAGCATGTTTCCTCTCTAGGAGGTATGAATACGAATGCCCTTCCTCAGTATACAACCCCAAAGGAGCTGGCAGAGGTTCCCTTGCCCATCCTGAGAATAGCCATGTCCCATGGTCATCTGCATCTTTGCTTACAGTAGCACTTATCAAACTGTCGTGGTGGACAAGTGTGCCTGCCCTGCCTGGGTGGGAGGCCCCTGAGGTCAGAGTCATTTCTAGTCCACCACTATAAACTCAGTGCCAGGGACTAGCCTGGCAGGGTCTGCTGAATGAAGGCTGACACTGCAGATGGGGCAAGAGCAGGCTTGGAAAGTGAGAGGAATTATGCTGAACTGGCTGGGGTGTTATGGTAGGGAAAATGAAAAGAAAAGAGCAAGAAGTAGTAAGGGGACCATGGCTTTGCATATAGGCTCTCATCTCATACTTCATTGGCTAGGACAAAATTATAAGCAAACAGACATCGCCACCACACCCTGGCCCAGAGTGATTTGGGGAAAGACAGTTAGTGCCATGCAATGGAAAGAATGGGGGTCTGAGGGCAGATTTTCTCAGTTTGCATCTGGACAAAGAAACTTAGGTTCTCCAAATCATTCTCAGCAGAATAACCCTCATCTCCCAGGTAAGCACCAACTAATGTATGCAAGATACTTTAAAACAATACCAATGCTATATAAATGTTATTAGTAATTGTAAGGATGACAAAGTCAAAACAACAGCAATCTGGCATGGGCTCTAAGCAACTCACGACAGTCTCAGTCTCTTTGTGTGGGGGTGGGGGGAGGGTGGGGTGTACACCTTGCCAGGATATAGGTCTCTACTTCCTCCATGAAGAACCTAGCACATAAGCCTAAAGTCTTAGCCATCCACATTAGCACAAATGGCTCCTCCCTCAGGATTTCTATGTACTTCCATGGTCCTCATGAACCAGGATAAAAGGAGCCTGAGGTTCCAAGTGCTTCTCCTGGAGGAAAAGACCCACCACATACTGCAGGGCTAGAAGGCACACATCCAGGTCCAAGGTCTAGGTGTGTCTGTGGTGCCCACCAGAGCTCCAACAATGGAGACAGTTTCACTTTCTATGGACTCTATTGGGGGCAGAGGAGTAAAAAGCTGGATACAAACACAAGCATCCACACAGGAACCCTTGCATGAGTGGGCAAGACCAAACATCTACTTTCTCTTGCCAGGCAGCAGCCTCTGGGCTCGAGCAACCATAAACAAGCCCAGTCTGTGTCCTGTGCTGGGATTCTGCTTATCCAGATTGTGGGTCCCCAGATGGCCTGGGCTGCCATGTGCCATCACAAAGGAGCAGTTGTTAGCACACATTTCCTGAACTCACAGGCACCCTCCCCCCACCACCTTGGGTTTTTCTGAATCAGCGGCTCCTATTTTGCCAAGCTGATTTGTTTATCAGTACTCAGAAGACCTCCTCCGGATCACGGTAGGTAGGGAGGTAGGGAGGTAGTGAGGAAAACACCAGGGGGGCCAAGGACTCAGGGAAGGAAGAGGAAAGAACCACTGTGGTAGCCCCAAAGTTCTCTTCTGCAAAGTTAATAGTTCTATGTCTGGTCCAGCATATATAAAGTTAGCATTCCTCAAACTTCCAACACAGTCTTCTGTTAACAAGTAGCTTCTACTGAGCTGGGTGACTAACAACTATGTACATTTAATCACTGAAATAAACCATGGAGGAACTGCCCCTGGTTACACAAAGAAAGCTGAGGCTTAGAGATGAAGCACCTAGCCTAAGTGCCACAGCGTGGTGGGGACAGTGTTGGATTTCAAACACTGACCTCTGCAACATCAAGGCCACCCGATGGAGCTATTTGGTGGAACATGTGAGCAAGCCAGGCCTTTGCATCCAGGTGATGCTAGAAGAGTTGCTAGCTCCTGCACCCCAGGGGAGCAGGGAAAGGCTGGATGTCATCTGAGGCACAAGAAGCAAGTCAACCCAAAGGCAGAAAGTCCTCAAGAGACAGCCACCACCATAGGCCCCTGTCCAAGTTCCTTAGCCCTTACCCTCAAGCAGGCTAGGTACTAGGAGGACTGAAGATATCTCTCTCGGTCAGAGACAGAAAAACAAGCACACAATTACACAAAGTTACAGGAGTCATCTCCAAACTGGAGATCGCGTCCCTGCCTAGACTTGGAGCCAGAGCCACCAGGACCCAATCCTGTCTAGAGTACTCACTGGTTGTGTGACCTTGGAGCCTTAGTCTCCTCAACTAGAGAAAGCCACCCCTCACAACAGAGGTGGCCATGAGAAAATGAGGTAAGTGAGGAGACAGGCGGGCTGAGGCGCCAGATATAGCAGGTACTGAGCAGCTGACTGCAATCTGAGTGCTGGAGACTGACCACCCTCCCCTGTGACATGGGCAGCGAGGCCCCCATAGAAGGCCACCATTCACTTGCTCAGATCTCTTATATAACCCAGTGTCTCTCTATAACCTCAAACTGACAAGGATGACTCCCACTTCTGAGAGCAAGTGCATTGCTCCCTAACCTCCAAACATATTCACTGGTCTGGAAAGGGATACAGTGGCATTTTTGTGGCTCTGTAATTTGGCCCTTAAAGTTCTTTTGTAATGATAAAGTGTAATTTTTATCTAGATGTCTTCTCATTGAGAAGATGCAAAACAAAAAAGAACCTGAAAACAAAAAGGTAAAACATATTATAGGTAGGATGGGAAAATTTTGTTTTGTGTTATTTTTGGTTGAATTCCACAATTGTCTACAAGTTTTGTTTTAAAGGAAAGCCTTCACTCAAGAACAACCCCTTTCATTTGAGGTACCAGACATCCACAGGACAGAATGGTCTCAGTCATGGTACCCTTGCAACAAAGCCATGTGGTAATAGGAAACTCAGAGTCCCCTCAATTTTACATACATTGACACAAAGGCCTGCATCAGCTATGGCAGAGCTGAGTCCTGGTCCCAAATCAAATGCCCTCTCCATGCAGTGGGCTCACGGGGAGCAGAGGGAGCCTCACAATGGACACTCTGCACCCACAGCAGGAGACGTTTATTAGTCTTGTCACTGACTTAGCCCCTGGGGAAGTGTGTGGGCTATTCCAGGTTGTGTGTGTGGGTATGTATGTGTGTGTCAGGAGGCAGGGTGACAGTAGAGAGGAGAGAGACCAAGGAAGGTACCTGCAGTGGTGGGCTCGGTCAGGCTTGATGCTGCAGCATTTGGGACACTTGTACACCACCTGCCCAGGCTTCAACTGCAAACTCTCAATGAACTCTTTAGTGGCATTTCCTTTGGGTACTGCCCCCTGTAACAAAGAGATGGAGTCAGGGTTGGGCTGGCAGTTCTCAGTTTCACTCTCTGCAGTGGAGATACAGTCACTTCAATGCAGCCACCATACACATGTGCACTCACACCTAGAATTATGTCAACACCGAGGAATATTTAATGACAATTTTCCCAGGCAGGTGGAGTGACTCAAGTAGTAGAATGCCTGCCTAGCAAGCGTGGAAGCCTTGAGTTCAAACCCCAGTACCACCAGAAAAAAAAATCTTGAAGGAACGTGATTAGGTATGTTAATCCCTTGATTAATTTCCTATTTTCATTTGCTATCACTATATTGAGTACTTTTTTTTTTGGCAGCACTGGAGTTTGAACTCAGGGCCTTGCAATTGGCAGGCAGGCACTATACCATTTGAGCCATACTCCTAGCCCATTTTGCTTTAACTATTTTTCAAATAGAGTCTCACATTTTTTGCCTGGTGACCTGGACTTTAATCCTCCTATCTATACCTCCTGAACAGCTGAGATTACAGGTACACACCACTCCCAGCGTTTTTGTTAAGATAGGGGGTCTTGCTAACTTTTTTTTTTTTTTTTGCATAGGCTGCCCTCGAACCTTGATCATCCTGATCTATATCTTCTGAGTAGTTAAGATTACAGATGAGCCACCAGTGCCCTTTCAAGTTAGTACATTCTTTCTTATTTAGTAAGGATTTGAGTCAGAGACTAGTTTTTGTTCTACATTAAGTTTCCTGGTAATAGCATCTCCCTCTGTGAGTTTTCAATGGTGAGCATCACCTCCCAAACCAAAACATATGTGCAGCTCTACATTTCAATGGGTTCTGTTGAACTGGAATGTTTTATTTCACGTTTCACCAGTACTACTATTACAACAGAACTGGTCATCTATTTTTAGTACTTAGTAAATCCACAACAACAGGGAGCTGTGGCCCTCAGGTATGTGACTTGCTATTCCATCCTGTTAACATGGAATAGTTAACATTTTGTGCTCTTGTTCTAACTGTGCCCATTTTGTAGGGCGTCAAGGCAGAGCCAAAGTGACATCAAAATCTGCTCAAACTCTGGACCCACTCAAACAGAAGGGTAGAGACATGGCATAGGCCTGAGCCGGGTCCCAACCTTTGCCAAGCATCTGCCTGGTGCTGAGTCCTCCACTCCCAGCAGTCATTGTTTTTTTTCTTTCTTTTATTCATATGTGCATACAATGTTTGGGTCATTTCTCCCCTCTTCCCCCACCCTCTTCCTCTCCCCTCCCCACCCCCTCGCTACCAGGCAGAAACTATTTTGCCCTTATTCTAATTTTGTTGTAGAGAGAGTATAAGCAATAATAGGAAGGACCAAGGGTTTTTTCTACTTAAGATAAGGATGGCTATACAGGGAGTTGACTACATTACTTTCCTGTGCACGTGTGTTACCTTCTAAGTTAATTCTTTTCAAACTAACCTTTTTTCTAGTTCCTGGTCCCCTTCTCCTATTGGCCTCTGTCACTTAAAAGTATCTGCATTAGTTTCTCTGTGTTGAGGGCAACAAATGCTATCTAGTTTTTTGGATGTCTTACCTATCCTCATACCTCCCTTGTGTGCTCTTGCTTTATCATGTGATCAAAGTCCAATCCCCTTGTTGTGTTTGCCCTTGATCTAATGTCCGCATATGAGGGAGAACATACGATTCTTGGTCTTTTGGGCCAGGCTAACCTCACTCAGAATGATGTTTTCCAGTTCTATCCATTTATTTGCGAATGATAAGATTTCATTCTTCTTCATGGCTGCATAAAATTCCATTGTGTATAATACCACATTTTCTTAATCTATTCATCAGTATCGGGGCATCTTGGTTGTTTCCATAACTTGGCTATTGTGAATAGTGCTGCAATAAACACGGGTGTGCAAGTGCCTCTGGAGTAACCTGTGTCACAGTCTTTTGGGTATATCCCCAAGAGTGGTACTGCTGGGTCATATGGTAGATCTATGTTTAGATTTTTAAGAAGCCTCTAAATTTTTTTCCAGAGTGGTTGTACTAGTTTGCATTCCCACCAGCAATGTAAAAGTGTTCCTTTTTCCCCCACATCCTCGCCAACACCTGTTGTTAGTGGTGTTGCTAATGATGGCTATTCTAACAGGAGTGAGGTGGAATCTTAGTGTGGTTTTAATTTGTATTTCCTTTATTGCTAGGGATGATGAGCGTTTTTTCATGTGTTTTTTGGCCATTTGAATTTCTTCTGAGAAAGTTCTGTTTAGTTCACTTGCCCATTTCTTTATTGGTTCATTAATTTTGGGAGAATTTAGTTTTTTGAGGTCCTATATATTCTGGTTATCAGTCCTTTGTCTGATGTGTAGCTGGCAAATATTTTCTCCCACTCTGTGGGCCAACAGTCATTGTTGAGGATTCAATGATAAATTTCCAAGAGGCTCATGGTGTTTGGGAGGATGATAAACAATCCTAACAGAGGGGCTGGCTGATGTGCTGCAGAAGTCATTTGTATTGAGAGACCACAAAGTAGGCAGTACCCAACAACCAGGAGAATCACAGTAGTTTTTAAGAAATGAACGTTTTAAGGGCTGCCTGAGAATGTGAAGATGTTTCCAGACAGAGCTACAGGAGAAAAGTGACCCAGGAGTGGCAGAGGAAGGGGCAGAGGTGGAGGGCAGGCCTCGCCCATGCAGCACTCAATGCCACGTGTAAAGGCTAGGATGGGCTTTTCCCTGTAGGCACTCCGGAGCCGTGAGGTGACCCCAGTGCTTTAGGAAGAGAACTCATTTGCTCAGTGGACCACATCAGAAGAAGAGAGACTAAAGCCCCAGAGACACTTAGAGTGTTGATAGTCCAGTAAGGAAGGACTGGCACCAATGCTGCAGCTTTAAAAATAAACAGGCACCTAGACTCTGAGGCAGCACTACCACAGAAAGACTGACAGGGTGAGGTCTGGACATCTCTACACCTGCACTTTATAAAACCTGCAGCACAGGCATTGAGTGAGTGAGGGTGGGCAGGACTGGTTCCCCACAGCAGAGCTGACAAACTGTAACTGGCCAGTGAGGGGCTCTCAGGGCAGAAGGGATGAGGACTGGTAGTCAGAATCTATCTTGCAAAAGAATAATTTTGGGAAGAGGAGGACCATGAAGAAAGAGCAGAGACAAATGAACCAGCAACTCTCTCCTGAAAGCACATCGTGGAGCACTGTGGTAAGTATAAAGAAGTGGTAGGAGCCCAGGGCCTCCAACAGCTGGTGCGATAGACAGAGGCAGACACAGTGAGGTGACCGAGGCTTGAGAACCTGGCAAAGGGCACAGCCACCAGGGTGTACATCAGGAGCTCAGGCAGGAGGACTGAGGGTGGGGATCCTAGTGGATGCCAAGCAGAAGAGGGATGGTGGGAGGGAGAGTCCAAGCATGGGCCCAGAGGTGGGTCTACAGATCTGGCCTCTCTGTCCTGCACGTGGCTCTGTACTGGATCCTCCAACCCCTCCCCTTGCTGAGGTGGTCCTTCTCTAGTCTGATGAGGACCTATTTGCTGCTGAGATGGGCAGCAGTTAGCTGACTTGTCACTAGAGCAAAGACACACTTCCCTGCCTGTTTATCTTGAGGAAGAGGAACCTTAGGAAGCAAGGAGAAAATTCAAAGGATCGCTTGCTCACATGCCTGCTCATCTCAGCTCAGGGCTGAGAGGGTAGAGATCAGGCTCTTACACCCTTTTGAGTCCCTAAGTCTTTCATTCAATGTTCTTGTAGAAGTTAAAAGCAGAAAAAAATGTGGACTGCAAAATGCAGCCAGATGTCAGAAAAATCTATGACAGAAATTTTAAGAATGAAGTTTGGTAGGCAACAGTCATATGGTATGCACAATGCCATTTAGAATATAGTTTTAAAATATATAGCTATAGAAATGAGAAACATCAATGACAGATCATGTAACCACACAAATATCTACATACATATACATACACATATATACATGAGAAAAAAAGACAAAAAGTATTAGTGGTTATCTAATATAGTAGGATTATAGGTACTTCTTATTTTCTTGACTATATTTCTTTCTTTTCTTTGTTGCTGAGGATTGAACCCAGGGACTTGTACATGATGGGCAAGCACTTTACCACTGAGCCACACCCCCAGCCCTTGACTGTTTTTTTAAAAATTTTTATTATCATATTATTGTAGTACTGAGGGTACATTGTGACATTTGTGGAAATTCTTACAATGTAGCATAGTTGAATTCACCCTCTCCACCATTCTCCTCTATTGACTATGTTTCTTAAATGCTCTATTATGAATATGTGGTTTTTGCAATAAGGAAAAAAAAACTTATTAAAAACATGAGGAAAAATAACAATAAACTCAAGGAGTCATTCAAAGTAGGAACATGACCAACTTTTCTGAAGTTTGTAACCAAAGTACTGAACTTTTTTATTTCTGTTTCATCTTGAGCCATCCAAGGCTCCCCCGTCCACCCCCACAAAGTGAGGCATGTCCAAGGCCAGAAGGCTTCATTAGGCAAGGCAGAGGAGAGTCTCACAGAGCCCAGACGGTCTTACTTTTCATTCTCTTTGTGTTTAGGTAACCCTGTGACCTTTTGTGGAGCCTGGAACCACAAAAACACAACTGAAAGTCACTCTTGCCATATATACAAAAGAGAAAATGCAAAGGGACATTTCCCAAAGGAGATGAAGCAAAGGAGCTGGATTTCTGAATGAAAACCCAGGTGCCTCTGCTCCCCTGTCCAGCCACCAGAATCTGCTGTAAATCTTGTGAGATCTGTAAAGGGCATTCAGAGCTCTCACCAGGTATTGTCATTATCACCTGTTGCTCCACCGTGATTAAAGTCATCATTAGCAGTTCAGCCTTCTTGAAAGTGTGCTTCTCCAGTGTGATTCCATTTGCACAGGCCTCCCAGAAGGCTCACTCCCATCCAGGCAACACCCCACCTGCCCAGCCCAAGACCATGGAGTCAGAGACACATGAATTTTCCAGTTTCAGATGAAGTTTCTTAAAGCTGTGTGTGCTTG